ATAATCAGGTTTATTATTTGACCACAGTTTCCCAGGGACTTGAAAATCAATAACACTAGAAGGACTTCTGTTTATAAGACATGTTACAGTTCTTAAAGCTTCACCCCAAAAGAATTTTGGAAGCCCAGAACTGTGTATCATACACTTAACATTTTCTAATAAGGTTCTGTTCATTTTTTCGACAACACTATTTTGCTGAGGGATGTATGTTACAGTTCTATGCCTCAGAATTGCATTTTCCTTACAAAAAGAATCAAATTCCAGATTGCAGAATTCAAGGCCATTATCACTCCGAAGTGCTTTAATTTTCATGTTTGTTTGATTTTCAATCATCAATTTCCAATGTTTAAAATTTTGAAAAGTATCATATTTATGTTTCAAAGGGAAAGTTCATATTTTTCTTGAAAAATCAACTACTATAAGTAAGTAGAATTTAAATCCACTCAAGGTATTCACAATTGCTGGACCCCACATGTCAACATTTAAATATTCCAAAATAGAAGTAGATTTGTGGATTCCAAATTTAAAAGGTAGTTTGTTCTGTTTTCCAAACACACATTCTTCACAAAAGCTTATGGTATGTTCTCTTTACTATTTTCAAGCCGTTTTCTATCTTCAATTTTTCAAAATAGTGAAAACGCGTTTTTTTTTCCTATTTTCGTAAACGAGTTTTTGAAAATAAGTTAAAAATTTACAAAGAAAATTCAAAACGACTAATTTGTTATTTTTGGTGTTTTCAGTTATAGCCACTATTTTAAAAAGCGCGCCTAAGCGGGAAGTGTGATAAAAACGCTTCGCCTTGATCAAATTATTCAAAATAGTGAAAACGCGTTTTTTTTTCCTATTTTCGTAAACGAGTTTTTGAAAATAAGTTAAAAATTTACAAAGAAAATTCAAAATGACAAATTTGTCGTTTTGGGTGTTTTCAGTTATAATCAAGTTAAAATTTTCAAAACGCGTTTTCGGTGTTTTCAAAACAATTTTTCAAAATGTCAAAAAGAACACATTTTCAACAATCTCAAAATGAACACTCAAAACACAAAACTGCAATACAAAAAGAACAACCCCTTAACTTTTAAAAATTGTCTTTTCCAAGATATCCAAATTTATTAAAATAGTTAATCCATTTTTTAGATATGTGGCGAAGTCTTTTATGCCAAATTAAAAACTTATCAGAATTATAATTCACAACAGCAGAGCTATAACCTACTAATGGTTCAGCTTGCAGAGTATAGATACCATTTAGCTTGGGTAAAGAGATAACTTCTGTATGATTAAGATTCAACTTTATGAACCTCTTATGAATCTTTACGTCATAAATTTCATCTAATTCTCCTAAGAAAATTAGATTCCTTTTCAGTTCAGGAACATATCTGACTTTGTCAAATTCAAGTATATGGTTGTTGTCTATTAGAATAATTAATTTTCATATTCCCTTTATCTGACAACTCATGTCATTTCCCATCTGAACTTGTCCTCTATTTAGATCAGCAAGGTCAGTGAACCAATCTCTTATAGGGCACATATGAAATGTGCAACCAGAGTCAAGGACCCATTCTTTTGAGTCTATATTAGTTGTGTTAACAAGAACAACCCCTTGAATATCAGGTTCATTTTTGCAGAAAACAACAGCAGAACTATCAGAAGTGTGCTTATCTTTCATATCGGAGATCTTTTTAAAACAATCTTTTATTAGGTGTCCTGCTTTACCACAATAATAACATTTTCTAACTTGCAGCTTAGATTTTGGTTGATTCTTGTTCTGATTCCTTAACTTAGGAAATTGAGGTTTTTCTCTCTTATGAGAATTGAAATTGCATTGATTTTCCCTTTTGTTTGATCACTTTTTCCCTAACATTCAAAACTTCTCCAAACTTAGAGTCTTTGAAATCAGATTTTAATTCAAATTCTCTATTCCTTAAAGATGATATAACAATATCAACAATAAGATTAGTTCTCTCATATTCTAAGGCATTACTCAGTTCTCTGTATTTATCACCTAGTGCATTCAACAGAGCAACATCTTGTTAATTTTCAGATAGTTTCTCATCACAGTCAGTCAGTTCTTGAACAAGTCTAGTGAGTTTGTCAATATTTTCTTCTAAACTGGAAAAAGCATTAAATCTGAAATTATAGAATTATCTTAGGAGATAGCATTTGTTGGGCATTGTTTTTATAACATTTGTTGGTCATCAATTTAGTTAGGTAAAGAGATTTCAATTTGGTCCAAAGACCCTGTGTATTAGTGGTTTTCCCAACTTTTCTAATAACAGTATCAGAAAGATGAAGAAATATTGAACTCCAAGTAACCTTATCTAACTCATGTCTCCTATAGGCACTAATTTCAGTACCATATGTCCCATCAAAGCACCAACACACCTATGTTGTAATAACAGAGGCCTCATTTTCTGGCACCACAGACTAAAATCTTTAGTCTTTCTCCAAATTTCTACTTCAAATTGATGTGCAGTAGTCATGATTGTAGGTAAACTCACAAATTCAAGATTAGACACCACGCAGAATATAACAAATATAGACAGTATGAGAGAGATAAACTTCAGATATTACAAAATTATATCAAAGTAAACAATTGATCAACAAATACTATTATATCAAGTTAAACCGTCAATCTTGAAGATGTTTAAGGAATGGTAACCCTTGATTCCCCTACTCCCTCAGATTCCCAGATCCTCGAATGAGATCTTGGACAAAGGAAAGTAGAGGAGGATCACTTACCTTAATAACCATTTCCAAAAATTGACATTAGTTACAAAAATAAAGAGCGTGTTTAGAGAATACCAAAATCAAGTCAACAACCTTAGTATAAGTGCAGGAAACAACGAATCACAAAAACTCAGAATTAACTTAGCAAGAATCAGAATGAGCCAACTCATATGGCCAATACTCAGTACGAGTCAAAAGAGACACCAAGACTCGACTGAGTCAGATCAGAATCGCCACAAACTCAGTAGAAATAACATATCACACAAATCTACACAAGAAATACTCTCGAATCTTTCAGAGATCCAACCAGAAAGTTGAATCAAAGAAAGATCCACGATTACCCTTTTAGAAAACCAAAATTTTTTTCATTTTTCCACAAAACTTTCATAGATCTCAAGATTTGCAATATTCAACAGTTTTTGCAATCAGGGTTTTTCAAAAAACAAGCACTAACTTAGATCTTGTAAGAAAAGGAAGTTCTGATACCACTTATTAGTTCTAAAATATAATTTCGAACACAATAACTGTAAATTGTAGAAAGTAAAATGAACACGAAGAATTTTTCACCTCTGAAGGCCCGGATGTTCAGCCAAAGCCCTAATCACCCGTGAGCATCTACAAAGTAGATATAGCTCTAGTTTATCTAGAATCACCAAGAAAAGTTACAAATGTATGAAGAGAGATTTCTTCGCTGTTTTCTCTCGCCTCAAATCACATAGATACAATACACAATCTCACCCAACTGTACACCAAGTATAATAACTGAAATGACTTTGCAACTTGTACATCATAATATACATCGGGGTGTACACCTCCCTTACATGGGGATGGGACCCGCTTAAATAAAAAAATATTTTATGTAATGGGTCTCACCCCCATGTGAGGGGGGTGTAACTCCTTATGGACAAAAGTTGATGTACAAGTAGAATTTTTCTAACTGAATATATTACTTAGGCCGTGTTTGATGGGCCGGATTTTTCAGAGAATTAGGAAAATATTTTTCACTTTCCACTTTTTTGACTGTTTGATAGGCGAAATTTTCCACGGAAAATATTAAAAAATTTTCCAAGTTGGCTGCAATTTTTTTTTTTTTTTTTT